GCTCAATATCAGAGATAGAGTAAATATAAATATAAAAGTGAACATTGAAGTCAACACTCAGAGGCGACAGGCTGTTTCATGCTAGACGCAATAGTCAGGCCGCCTAGCATGAAACAGCGTGTCGCCTCTGAGTTTTGACTTCAATTTTCACTTATATATATATATATATATATATATATATATATATATATATATATATATATATATATGCACATTAACCGGCCAGTGCATGACTGAATGCAATATATACTGAGTACCATAAAGTTAAAAAAAAATGTACAAGGATTTTAAACTATGTTTGGCGTTTAAAAAAACTACCATAAGAACCCAATCAATAACTGGAATATCATCGCGAAAGGTAACCTATACAATAGAAAGTGAGACAGATGTAAGTTATGTTCGTTGGAGAAGCTTATTATATTAAAGGACTTAAATAATCCTAACTTGCTGAACACGAGGTCTAAATGAAAGTCTACATACATCCACAAATTCAAGTACCTGCTCAAAAACATTGACGCTGATTAAAAGTTGTTGCAAAATGGATTTTACGAATATTAATATAATATGCAACAACTTTTAATATTCTCACAACTCATTATCTATAACATTTCTTATAAATCTATGCATACATAGAATGCAATATTACTGCAACCGATCAATTTATAACGTGTGTGTGTATATATAACTTCACGTTCAAGTGCATTAGATATATAATCCCGAACTATTACTTATTTACTATTTATGCAGTTTTATATTTCTAGTCTGCGTTATACCTTAATAGGCATAAATAATTTTCTTTTATGCTAAGAGAACGATAGCTACCTCGCTTGATATATTGTTTTGTTTGGAATCTAACTTAAAATTTAATTAATTTTTTTATTTATGTTTTATTATTTTTAACTCTCCAACATTCGAACTTATGAATTTGAACGATATAAATTATTAATAGTTAATTCTATATTTTAAATAGACAAGTTTGTAAACCCAATTTTGAATCAGCATTTACGAGAACGCGAAAAATAACGGTCAAAATTCACACATGAAAATTGCATTAACTGCATTAAACTCCGAATACTATTATCGACGTTGGATATTATGTATATATATATATATATATATATATATATATATATATATATATATATATATATATATATTCACAATATATATATATATATATATATATATATATATATAATGAAAAAAGAAAGCCCAACAATTATTTTTAAGACATTTTTATAAAAAGAATGTATAAACATAAAAATGTCTTAATATATATATATATATATATATATATGTATGTGTGTGTGTATGTATGTATAGGAAGAGAGGAAGATCAGATGGTGTAAAAATCCACTGTTCGTAGCATTTCCTTTCAAAAAGTGCTCAATACAAAGTAGAGCAATATATCATTATTATATTTTTATTATAAGAGATTAGAATAAAAAATTTTGAAATCACTGCATATATATAGAGAGAGAGAGTGAGTGAGAGAGAGAAATCGCTACATGTAGAGAGTGAGTGAGGGAAAGAGATTTTGCTTATAGCTAATTTACTTTATGAAATTGCAAGTGTTGTGTAAATCCTATGAGGAATTATTGGAGTAATGGGGAAAAAGTCTTTAATGAGATTAGGGTTAGGCTTAGTTCCTGACAATCTTTTCCCCCTGACTTTGATCATTATCAATGCATTTACATTATCCATATAATAACCATTTTCTGTCAGTAGGGCTTGCATTCATTCCTGACCATTGACAATCCCTTTCTTCTTGATTTTCAATGCATTCCTATAGTAAAATCATTATCAATGCATATACATTATACATATTATAGCCATGTTCTATTAGTAATGCTTGCATTCATTCCCGACCATTGACAATCCCTTTCTTCTTGATTTTCAATGCATTCATAATGTAAAATCATTAGCAATTCTATGCATTAGGTTAGTTTAATGGAAGTATAGTGTAGAAAATTGCAAACACTAAACAGACGTGTATTGGATGAATTTTGAAAAATTGCAAACTTGTTTTCGAGAAAAAATTTCAAATGCCGTGAGCGTTAACAAAGAAATTGTTCATTGTTTAATACGTTTTACTTCCTTCATGAAATTGTTTTGTCACGTGACACCTTTTTTTTCGTTTCTCTTTTCATCAGTGCTCCATTTTTTACGCCTATAACAACTTTCCTGTCTGCATATAAAATATACTGAATTCCTGTACGTTTTTATTTATATCTATTTACATGCATTCCTAAATAATTTTGTGGCACAAACCACCAATCGCTTTTTAAGATGGCTAACTCTATATTTCTCTGACCATTGCTCCCAACCAGCAAAGAAGGATACGAATCTCGCAATATACTTGTCGAGAAAGAACATCCAATTGAAAAAAAAAAATAATTTAAAAATAATGGACGCTAACAGTATACTGCCTACCATAGTATTTACAGACCTGCCACTATGTTTGGCGTTTAAAAAACAAGCATAAGAACCCAACCATTAACTGGGATATAATCGCGAAAGCCAAGCTAGAAAGGGAGACAGATGTAACTAATGTTCGTTGGAGAAGCTCATTATATTAAAGCACTTAAATAATCCTAACTTGCTGAACAGGAAGTCTGAATGAATGTCTACATACATTCATAAATCCAAATGTAAATAAAATCCTTGAAAATAGCTAACAGATTATGTGAAACTTTCTGAATAAACAAAAATTTGGACAATTTTTTATACTTATTGAATCCAGCAAAGAAAACACCTGCTCGCGTACAACAACATAATGCACTAAAAATTCCCTTTCTATGCGCCGATAGCCTAGAGCTAAGAGGCCCCATCTGATGTCAAATCGGTCGAGTTTCGATCCCGACTTGAAGCAACTACACTGAAGTGTTTTAATATGTCGCAACAGCCTGTCTATGGATGACTATATATATATATATATATATATATATATATATATATATATATATATATATATATAGTTTATGCAAATTTAGGT